GGCTCCTCCATCCCTGGGCTCCTCCAACCCTGGGCTCCCCTCCATGGGCTCCTCCATCCCTGGGTTCCTCCATCCCTGGACTCCTCCATCCCTGGACAGCCCCCTCCCTGGCAGACCCCCCCAGCCATCACCTGACACAGTCCAGGTCCAAAGCAGGCTCTGAGGCTTCACATTCCCAGGGCTTTGAGGAGGGGGGCACACATGAGCTCAGGAGGCCACCCTGGGTTGGAACCCCAGCGCTGCTGCCTGCCCCGGTGTGCCAGGGCCTGCAAGTCTAGAAACCGAGGCACAGGAAAGTCAAGTGACTCGCTGAATTCCCCCAGCCCGTGAGCAGTGGGGCCAGGATTATATCCATGCAGGCTGGCTAGGAGGCCGTGGTCCTCCTCACGCTGCTGGCTGCCTCTGAGTCCTGTGGATCATGGGGCTTCCTCTCAGCTTTCTGGGGCCTTCTACCTCATCTAAGATGGGGTGAGAAATGGGGGCTTAGGAAGCAAGAAGGTTATTATCAGGGCCCTTTCTCCTCCATACCCGCGTAAGAGGTGACTCACTGGCTTCTGCTCAGGGCCTGACACATGCTGAACAAAGGGTCATTGGCCTGGTCCTCCTGGGCTCGTTTCAGGACAAGAGCCCCTGGGTGCATGCGGTTCCTCAGGAAATGCATTTGCTCCCAAACACCACCCAGGGATGAGGTCTCCTGGGGCAAGGGCAACCCAGAGACCACCGCCATTAAGAAAGGGGCAGCCCATCTCACCACGCCCTGAACCAGTGCCATCCTGGGTCCTCATGCGCATCATGGCCCTGTCACCTGCTCCCAAAGTGGCTCTCAGTGGCACAGCCTCTTCTGTCACCCTGAAAGTGCAAGGCCAGGAATATGGTCAGGTAGAATTGTTTCCGGCTGCAAGTAATCGATGGGCAGGGACTTATGCAAATACAGTCTTATTCATCTCTCACGGCAAGAGGGTGTGGGGCCAGGATTGGGCCTGGGACTCAGTGAAGCCAAGGAATGGGCTCAGCTTTTCTGGTAGCCATGGGACTTGAGTCTGAGGCTTTCTTTTTGCCTGTCCCCTTACAACACATTACATCAGCCCATCAGGGAAAAGGACCAGTGAACCCTGATTCGTTAAATCCAGGAACAACTTCAGCATGAACGAAGGCCTGGGGAGGGTGCCTGTCTAATACAGGGGATTCTTGTGGCTCCCAGCTGGCACCTCCCCACCATCCCGACCTGGAGGAGACGGAAAGGGAGGTCAGTGGCTCTTCCGTCTCCCCACCCCTCCCACATTCCAGGACACCTCCTGGAGCCACACTGTGCACTGGGCTGGCCCAGCCCAGCCCGTTCCCATCCTCCCTGGGTGTGATGAACGCTAGGGCTGCTTAGAGTCACAAATTAGGTTGCCAAAGGCATCCCCCGTTTGGCCTGGAAATACCTCCCAGCTGAAAGGAGGCACGTCTGGGCTGAGCAGACGTCTTTATTCAGCTGTAATTGATGTTTCACAGACGTCTGTAACTCCGTCTGGAGGGACACAAAGCGCCCCCATGCTTGGCCCAGGCAGCCGCTTTATGTCACCCCTTTTCATCTGGCAGTCAAAAGTGTAGGAGCCGCCTGGGCTCTCCTGCTTGGTCCCTGGGCCAGGACAAAGGCAGGTGCTGCACACAGAGGCCACCCGGTGGGCCTTTACCTCCTGGAGTGCTCCATGCTAATCTAGCGCCAGGCCAGACCCCTCCTGCATGGCGATGGACTGCAGGGACAGCCGCTGAAACGGGCAGAGCCCTGGCTTACTGGGAAAGGGAGTGTCTCCCAGCAGTCAGATCGAGCCAGTGGGTCCACCTGAACCCAGACTCAGTTGGCTGAGATGGAAGGTGAAGGGCCTTGTATTGGAGCAGGGGTTCTCAGCCTGGCACCCAAGGCCCCCAGGGGAGGGACATTCGAGCCTCCGCAGTCACAGGCAAATCTATGCACAGGTCTCTTTCTCTAGGAAGAAGCTCAACAGCTTTCATCAGATGCTCAAAAAGGTAAGTCCTACCAGGCACAGTGGCTCACACCTGTAACCCTGGCGCTTTGGGAGGCTGAGGTGGGAGACTCGCCCGAGCCCAGGAGTTCAAAACTAGTCTGGGCAACATAGCAAGACCTCATCTGTTAAATTTTTTAAAAATTAACCAGGTGTTGTAGTGCATATCTGTAGCCCCAGCTACTGAGGCTGAGGCGAGACGATCCCTTGAGCCCAGAAGTTTGAGATTATAGTGAGCTGTGATCATGCCACTGCCACTGCACTCCAGCCTGGACGACAGAGTGAGACCTTGTCTCTAAAAGAAAAAAAAGAAGAGGTAATTTCTACTGCTGGGCTCACCCAAACTCCCATTTTACAGACTAGAAAGCAGAGGCCCAGGGAGCAGGGATATCTCGCCCAATGTCACAGGATAAGTAGGTGGTGGCACTTGGGTCTTTACCCCTGCTCAGAGATTCTGCTCTGCCAGAGATTGCAAGGTCAGGGGCTGAGAGAGGCCAGGCAGGTTACCCTAAGGGGGCATCCAAGTTCCCTGAGGAGGGGCCGGGGGGACGGGAATGTGCAATGATCTGCCAGGGAAAGCCCGGTGGAGCCAGACTCTCAGGGGGAAACAGATTTTTTAAAAATGGGAAGTTTTCCAATTAAAGAATGCTGATTCATAGCCTGCAGAGTGCAGTTTGAGACTTTTGGCGTTTGCCTCACTGAGTTCCTCCTCTTCTGTTCTGCAGGCAAGAGAAGCTCCAACATGGCCACAAGAATCCAGATTCTCCCTCTGAGCCCCTTGCCCTGAAGCCAGAAGAGGGCTGCAGTGCGGAGCTGGTGCCCAGAAACTCTTGCCAGTCCTCCGCGGTGCCTGGAGAAGGACTGCAGCTCGCGGGCTGTGTGGCTTCTGCTTTTGGTTGTCAGTCCCAAAGGGGATGCCCATCTCCAGCGACTGCAATTCCTCCCCTTTCCTGAGCCCTGCTATTTCCCAGGCTGGAGGCAGAAGTGACAGGTTAATGGCCGGCTGTGCTGGCCCTGCAGGGTTCCCTGACCTTCCCTCTGGGTTTGGCATGATCCTACAGCATCCTCCAGAGACGGCAAGAGGAGACCAGAGCGGGAAAGACAGAAAAAGAGAGAGAGAGACAGCCACAGAGAGGACAAAAAGAGAGAGACAAGGAGGGAAGGGAGACAAGGGAGCAGAGAGGAAAAGAGAGAGAGGAGGAGAGAAAGAAGGAGAATCAGCTCAGTATAGAGAGAGAAAAAGAGGGAGGATCGGAGAGAGACGGGAAACGAGGCTGCCTGGAGAGAGATGGGAGAGAGACTCAGAGAGCCAGAGAGCAAGACTGACAGGCAGAGAGCCAGAGGCAGAGCCCAGAGAGGAAAGAGGCCAAGAGGAGAGGAGCTGAGAGGCCACAGAGGAGGTGAGAGGCCGGAGGGGAGAGAAGGCAGGGAGCGCAGAGCTCCAGATGTGGGTGGGCCCTTGGGGGCGGGGCATGGGAGGGGGTGAAGGAGTGTCTCTGCGGTTCTCAGGCTCTAAGCGCGAGAATCAGCGCTCTCCCAGACCATTCGCTCTTCGCTGTGATGCCTGGGCCACGCCCACCTGCATCTGAAGCGCAGGTGAAGGCAGAGCTACCCCGTGCGGGGCCCACGATGCAGACTTCCAGAACTCACCTGCTCTAGACCACGCGCTGAAAGGCAGAAGCAGAGCTCATGCTGGGATCCAGGGAGGCGCTGCAGACGCGACACCCCACTTGCACATCAAAGGAGTTTACATTTATTTGGGAACAGGTAAGACACCATTTTTCAAATTCTTAAAATTAAAAAAAATGTTATTAGTTTTTAGGGTAACAGCACAGGAGGGGGTCAAGTGAAAAATAAAATTCCCCTTCCCTACAATACCCTCAAATACAGTCTAGGGGATGGGATTTAAAATACTGGGGTTCCCCCATCCTTCCCTTCCCTCAGTGAATGGGATTGGAGCTATTGGTTGGCATCATGCCATGGTTCTATCTGTTAGGAACATGAGAAATGCCAGGTCCTTAATGACATAGCTTTTCACAAGTCCCCACACAGCTAAATACGTGCACAGGTGCGTGGGCTCACACACGAACACACACACACACACACACAATTTATGCTCCAAGTGCAGCCCCTCGTGTATCCAGGGCCTCCACTAAGTAACCTTTCATTACACCTGGGGGTAACAGCCAACTGTAGAGAGGCTGGAACACATATCAGGCACTGGTGTGCTGCTCATAACTACGGCCTTTGGGACACTTCACTGTCTTGTTCTCGGCGAGTCAGGCGGGTGCATTTCAGGCACAAGAGAAAGATAAACAAAACTCGGCCAACAGGGGAGATGTCTGGGGGGAAAGATGAGCAGATAGGCCAGACTCATTCCTTTGTTTTGCAATGATTGAGTCCTTCTTCTAGCATTTACAGTTGTGTTTATCTTGTATGCATTTAATTGATAGGCATGTAATGATTCACACTCAAGATGTTTTTAATTAAAAATGCTGTGCAAGTCCAGTTGGATATGCACTCTTTCTTGCATACTACACATTATATATCTGTGATACATTTATACATGCATATTACTGTGAAGACTTCTATATACAATACTATGTATACTGTCTATGATATATTTATTCATGCATATTACTGTAAAGATTTGTCTTTTCAATACTATGTATACTGACTTGCAGGGCAACTTAAAGGCCCAAGAGTAATCTTTTTTTTTTTTTGAGACGGAGTCTCACCCTGTCGCCCAGGCTGGAGTGCAGTAGTATGATCTCGGCTCACTGTAACCTCCACTTTCCGTGTTCAAGCAATTCTCCTGCCTCACCCTCCTGAGGAGCTGGGATTACAGGCACACACCACCAAGCCCAGCTAGGAGAGATGGGGTTTCACCATGTTAGTCAGGCTGGTCTTGAACTCCTCACGTGGTGCTCTGCCTGCCTCAGCCTCCCAAAGTGCTGGGATTACAGGCGTGAGCCACTGTGCCCAGCCTTTTTTTTTTTTTTTTTTTCAGATGGAGTCTCACTCTGTTACCCAGGCTGGAGTGCAGTGGCACAATCTGGGCTCACTGCAACATCCACCTCCAGAATTCAAGGATTCTCCTGCCTCAGCCTCTCAAGTAGCTGGGACTACAGACATGTGCCATGAAACCTGGCTAATTTTTGTATTTTTAGTAGAGATGGGGTTTCGCCTTGTTGGCTAGGTTGGTCTCGAACTCCTGCTTCAAGTGATCTGCCGGCCTCGGCCTCCCGAAGCGCTGAGATTCCTGGCATGAGCCACCGTGCCCGGCCACAGGTTAACCCAGTCCTGTTGAGAGCACCAGTCCCAGCCTCTGGTGGGGTGGTTTCAGTCATTCACAGACATCCCTGTCCCCACACCTGTGAGTTGTTTAGACATTGGTCATTGGCACAGTCATCTACTGCAGCTGAACAAACTACTTCAAAACTTAAAACAGCAGCATTAATTTTGCTCAACACATCTGTAACTGGGGCAGGAATCAGTGGGGATAGCTTCTCTCTGCCGTATGGTGTCAGCTGGGCCAAGTTGACGGGGACTAAAGGAGCCATTTCTAGGAGAGCTCACTCACATGGCTGGCAAGGTGTGCCAGCTGCAGACTGGTCGCCCAGCCTAGGCTGGGGCTAGGGGACTCCTGCTTGGCTGGGTTCCAAGAGAGAGTGTCCCAAGAGACAAGAAGTGGAAACAGTTTTTACAGTCTGGGCCCTAAGAAACTGGCAGTGTCACTTTTGTCCTAGTCTGTCGATCAGGCAGGAGCTTGACCCACCGAGCTCAGATTCAAGGGAGGGGATAGACCTTGCCTCTCAAAGGGAGGGGCATCAGATAATTTAAGGGCGACATTTTAAAACTGTCATAGCCAGGAGAACATGGGGAGAAGTCTATTGGGGGATTTCTGGGAAAGGTTTCTTTGCTCTCAAAAAGAGACATAAGCGTAACTGAGTAACAGTTCAGAGTCCAACATAAGAATTGACACAATCCCAAGAAAAACAAGAAGATCATATACTTGACCCTTCAAGATTATGTTCCTAATTGCATAAAATTCAGGGAAAGAAGACCATTATAGTATCTTCTACAATTGTTACACTTGGGATAATAATAAAGCATACCAAAATTACATATAATTGTGGGACTTATACTTTAAAAATCCTGTAGGATTTCAATATTTGATGGGAAAACTCAATATTGTCAAGATGTCAATCCTTCCCAAATTAAAGCATATATTCAATGTAATCCCACGGAGATTGGAATTTACAAGCAGACTCACTCATCTGGAAAAGTTCATCTGGAAGAGCCAAAGTGAAAAATTAACCAAGAAAATTTTGAGGGAGAAGATGTTTTTACAGGATGCAAAAGCACATAAAAAAGGCTCTACGGTAGCACAGATAACAAGAAATTGGAAACAACCTGAATGTCACCAGGCCAATAGTTAAATAAATTAGAGTAGGGGGCTGGAGTGGTGGTGCACAGCTGTAAGCCCAACAGTTTGAAAGGCTGAGGCAGGAAGATCTCTTGAGGCCAGGAGTTTGAGACCAGCCTGGGCAAATAATGGGACCCCTGTCTCTATTATTAAAAAATTAGCTGAGTGTGGTGATGTGCACCTGTAGTCCAGCTACTCGGGCTGAGGTGGGAAGATCTTCTGTGCCCAAGCATTTGAGGTTGTAGAGAGCTATGATCACGCCACTGCACTCCAGCCTAGGCAACAGAGCTCTTGCTCTATGTCAAAAAATATAAATAAATAAGTAAATTAGAGCAGTGGATCTCAAACTTGAGCATGCATCAGGATGAGCCAGAGGCCTGCTAAAACACAGATGGACAGGCCCATTCCCAGTGCTTCTGAGTCAGCAGGTCGGGAGGCATTCATTCAAGTGTTTCTAGCAAGTCGGTTCCCAGATGATGGTGATGCTGATGGTCCAGACCACACTTGAGAACCACTGAATTAGAGAATGATCTAAAATGGATCGAAACACAAGAGGGGTAGGGGGCAAACTGCAACATAACACCACTTTGCAAAAAGAAAAAAAAGACTCTAGAACTAAAATGAAACCAATTTACATATATATATATATATAATTTCACTTAAAAACATGTCTGAAAAGCAGAAAGGACATGAAAGGAAGAGATGGTTATTCCTCTTCCCCTGAGCACCGTGGTCTGCCCGTGATGCCCAGAAGTGCTGGGCCACCTTTATATTCACCTCAGGTTGAAGCCAATGGCAAGAGGTGTGAGCCATTAAGACTCACAGGAAAGCAGAACTGAACAGACTCATGAGCCTGGAAGGCCCTGGGGAGATTCTTATATGAATTCATAAATCCTCTTATGATTTAAGCCATTGAATTGGGGTTTTCCATCATTTATAGGCAGAATTGTCTAACTCACGCAGCAGTGGTTACATAGGATTGTTTGTAAAGATCAAATAAGGTCACATAAGTGAAAGGTCTTTGGGGACCTTGACACATAGTAAGATTCTCGCCTCCAGCCACCATTTACTGTACTTATTCTGGAAAAACCTTCTGAGCTAGGCTGTATGGGGACATTATGTGGAAGCTGGCAGATGCGCTGACCTCTAGTAGCTCAGGAAATGCAAGGGGAGGACAAGCAAAAAGAGGAATTTAACGGTCATGCACCTGGGAAATCTAGGCTGGCCTGGCCTCAAGTGTGGCAGTCCCTGCTACTCAGATAATGCCAACCAGCCTCTTTTTCAATGTGTCTGAGGACTCCTCTTTTTGAGCCAGTTTTGTTCTTTACTGCTGTGCAGTTTCCTCCATGCAGTAGGAGAAGAACATGGATTTCACAAGCATAAACTGACATCATACCATCTGAGCAAGCTGAGAGCAAAGACAAGGCTTCTTTTTCTCTGCCTTTGTTTACAAAATCCCAGGGAAGAAGGCTGACTGGCCCAGCTTTTGCAGGTGCCCTTATCTGTGCCAATCCCTGTGGTCAGGGGGATGGGATACCATGCTTGGCCAGACAAACGTGATATGTGGTTGTTTACATACATCACTTATGACAGCTAGATATAGATATCTGCAGAACAATATTGCCACAAACTCAGAGGCAGACGATGCACATATGTATTGTCTCAGTTTCTGTGGGTCAAGAATCCTGGAATGGCTGAGCTGGGCCCTCTGCAAGC